AAAAAAAAAAAAAAAAAAAAAAAAAAAAAAAAAACACATCATAGTAAAATTAATACCTTCTCAGCTTCGCATCGAAGCTAAAAAGATATAATTAATATTTTCTTACTTTATTTTGAGTATTAGCGTTATCAAACTGTTCAAGAACTAAGTATTGTTGTATCTTTTCTATGTCAATCCTACATTCATTTCCCATTTCAACATCATCATCTCTCGTTTTATCCTCACAAAGATTAGAAACCAATCGTCTTCTGTGTCTTGTTGACAGAGATACAAATGGTTTTTTTGACCTAGATAATAATCGTTTGGTAGAAGGTAATGTTATTTTTATAGCAATTAAAATTAAAAAAATAATTAAAATAATTAAGTAAAAAAACTTACATATTCTTAATATCAGGTTTACATCGATACAGCTTTAATTATTAAAAATCTAATTATATTATATGTGTAAATTTAACGAAATAATTTAATTTTAACTTTACAGTGATGGCGGACTAAGGTTGATAATAACCCGAATTTCCGAGGTCTGTTTACCATAAAGTAATATATAGTAAAAATATTACTTTGTGCTTTATTCGTGTCGTTGATTTAAAATACGATTGGTAATACTGAATAACTGCTTTATACACGCCAATCAAGATGACGCCCGCCGTCATGACGGTTATGGACTAATAGCTGTTTGTTTTTACCTATTCACAACGATTCACATGTTATTTAACTTTATACTTCCCATTTTAATTTGTTGTTTTTATGAGCGACATGAAGTATGTATATTAAATGTATTCTACCTTACTTTTAGGGGTTTATGCTGATAATTTTTTCAAAAAATTATGATTTTTATTGTTTTAATGAGTAATCATCGTTGGGTTTTTAGAAAGTATATAGTGATTGAATTTGATGATGGGCTGAGAGTTTTGCCAAAAAACTGGCTACAAATTAAAAATAATATATGTTTTCTTCCACCAACATCAAATGAAAAAAAATTCAACAACGCTGTTAAAAATATGTCTTTTCCAATTTCCAATTGGAAAACAGTCAAATATAACAAGATTGTTGGAATGAGTGGTAAGTATACTTTATAATGTAGTTATTTTCTTGTCTTATTAATATGTTAATTATTATTCTTTTATTCTAAACTTGTAAACATACATGTTTACATATTGTCTATACTGGGTGATAATAATTTAATATATGTTTTTTCTCTGTTCATATCTAAAAATGTTTAATAACTTCTAAATGGTTATCTAAAAGTTTTTATCAACCAGTCATTTTCTTCATTAGATCATTGTATAAGAATCAAACTACTTAAATATGTATGTTGCTATATGAAAAATTAAAGTTAACTCCCTTATGAGGTATAAGAGCTAAAAATAAAAAAATTTCTTTATAAGTAAACTGAAAAAACATCATACTAACAGAAATATTTAAAACGATAAAATAAAATCATGTTTAATTATAATTATGTAATTTATTTGAAAATGCCCAAAAAAAACTCTCCAATATAATACAGTACAATTTTTCTGAAGCGGCTGATACTGATGAAAATAGTTTTCAAAAAACACAAAGAAAATATAGAGCAAAAAAAATATTTATTTCAAGTGATGAATATGTTACTGGTAAGTTTTTTATGTATTGTAATTATAAGATAACTAGTTGCTATTCCATCAGAGATAAATAAATTTAAAAAAAAGTTTATTTTAACCTACTTTAAATCTCTACATTTTTTAAAAATAATTATTTTTTTGTCAAATTCAATTAGAGAAGCTATTTATAATCTTATTGTCCCTTCAGTATTTCAGTTGTATTTTATCTACATATTTACATATTAGTAGGGTATTGTATATTATGTTAACTAACAAATAAGTATTGAAATAGCATTTTTTTCTGGTAGGATCACCAAGAATCAAGACGTTTAAGAAGAAAACTCCAAAATTACCAACACCGCCTTCAAACTTTCATAGTATGCTATCTTTATCAAAATTTTATTACATTATGAATAATTCCATTTCAATATTTATGTGTGTAAATATAATGGTTTATAAACTGTAAAAGTGTGTTTCTAGGTTTTTTAAAAAAAAGTAATATTACTTGTTTTTTTAAATCTAAGAATGAAAATAAAGAAAAGAAAATCAATTTGTACTGTCTGTTAACCTAACTTAAATTTTATTTTGTTATAAGCAGTATCTTAAAAAATTAATTATTCAATTAAAAATGCCTACTAGTATTAAACACCAACTAGAATGGGGTATGCTTTAGTACACCCTGACCACATGAGGAGTGTTTTATATTTATATAAAACATATATAGTATATGTCTATGCTTGCTTGCATCAATACTAATAGTGTTAAAATTTACATTATAATAACTTTTCAATTTTTTCTTAATTTTAGTTTAAAAATGAATTTTTAGATTCTTGTGATAAAAGCAATTCTAGTGCAACCAATAATACTCCAAGCTCACTAGTTTCAGTTGAAACTAAAATTCAATTAATGGACAAAAATCAATTCATTGAAACTCCGTCGCCTGATTTATTTTTATCAAAGAGTAAACATTTTTTAAACATTTTTATTATTACTGTATTATAATATACTTGTAGTAAAGTAACTTGTTTTGTAGGCTACTTATTGGATAAAAATACACCATTATCTATAGATAACCATGGAAGTATGTATAGAATTCATATTAAAAATAGCTCTTTTTAATAACTGATCATATTTGTGTAGGTGACTTAGAAGAAACACCAAAAAAAAAAAAAAAAAAAAATTGACAATACACATGAGTGTTTTCAGATGAAACAAGGTAAATATTACTTAAATTAAAATAACGTTGAAACACTTAAATGATTTTAATAAGGTTGACTTAATTTGATTTTTTAACCATTTTAGTACATTACCAAGAAATTAAGAGCTTTTCATCTTTTACTGTTTTGATTACTTTATATTTTGATGCCTTATTTATAAAATTAATAAAATTTTTGTTCTTTCGAAAATGGATACCTTCTTGTTTGTAAAGACTTATTTTGACTTGTTACTTAATTATTAACTGTGTGAACAGTATGTGGATGAACATAGGTAATCAGTTGACATGCGTAGTGATACTGTTTTTATCAGCATTAACTTAAAAGTTTTAAGTTAAAACTCATTGTGATATAATAATATATGAAAAAATTAATAAATTAACAAATGCACGTTTTGTATTACATAAAATAAATAAAAATAGTTTACATTACAAAAATAATGAAATAACATGATTGTGAACTGTAATTGTTAGACAGTATATGCACTACTGTTATACTCTACTAAGATAAAAAAATGAAATTTTTATTCTTTTGTTTATAGAGATATTGTTTTTAAAAGCAAACATTCAGAAAATTTTAAGAAATGTTATTGAAATAAAGTTATTATTAAAAGATACTCATGCTAATACGCAAAATATAGAGCTAGATGCAAACTTCTCCTCAATCTACAATGAATTGTTCCCCTTAAAATCGAGATCATTTTTGGATCATGTTGAATATTGTATCATCAATGAATCTAATTTCAAATCAAACTTGGTAATTTAATACAATTATTATTTTACTTACAATAAGTGTCAATATAACTTGTATTAAAATTATAACAGGCAAGCCGCATTAAAACTTTTATGGGGTACAATCAAAATAAATTTATGTATGTTGCATTATCAAATCTAATAACTGACCAGTTAGGAACTACATTATCTTATTCTGGTAAAAAAAGGAACAGAAATGATGAATCGAAAATAGCTTTGAAAACACTTGAACTGTATAAGCTTATTTGTGGTAATTATTATTGTATGAATTTTTCACTGATATATAATGTTAATTTGAACGTTTTTTCAGAAACAGCTCGCCAAAAATTTGTTGCATACTATTCCGAAAATAACATGGCTACAGCTGCATCAAGTTGGCTTCGTCATGTGTGTGAGCGACTGAAGAAAAATTGTAGTAAACAATAACTTTTATATTATGTACTTTTATAAAAGTACAATTTATGTACTTTTTTTTATACAACTATAGTTGTATCTTTATATAGATTACTTATTATGAATTAAATAGAAGTATTATTATATATACTTTAATTACACGTATATTTACATTTATTTATGTACTTTTTTTTTTTGTATAAATACAAAAAATGATTTCTATATATTGATAATCTTTTGTTTAAATAGAAGTATTCTTATACATACTTTTATTGTATATATATGTACATTAATTTATGTTCTTTTTATATATATTGATAAATTTTTATGTATAAAATAAAAGTATACTTATTTAAATTCTAACTTTTTGTTATTATATTCTTTTTATTTAAAAACAACTAAAATATTGGAAATTACTCAAATAATATTTGAGTCATTTAAGACATGATTTGTACAAAAAGTCTTTACAATAAATTATAATGTAATTACAATATAAAGTAATTAAAAGAAAATAAATAAATTATGAGTCTAGTGGGAATCCCATAAAAGTCAAAAGGTATTCAAACAGGCCTCCTATTTAGTTCCTGAAGAGTACAATAAGGAATCCTACAGAAGTGAAAAATAGGAGTCTATAAGGAGAGGACATGGGGAATCTAAGAGGAAACTTGTAGGAACTCCTTGGGCATTTTTTGAATCCCATTTGGGATTCCGTGGCCATTCCGTGGGAACTAAGTGTGTTGTTAGGGAATTTCATGTTTTACTTTTTAGTTGAATTACCTGCTACAGATCTTAATGAACTATTTGGATTAGTTTTAAGATAAGCTAAAACTAAGGTAGAATTTTGTACAGTTGAAAGTGTCTTAACCCTACATTTTGAGCGATTATAGCTGCCAAAAATTGACATGTTCTTATAAACTTGACAAAACGTAGACTCTGTTGGGCATGTACGATTAGTGTACCATAGTTTGTACAACCTTTAATTTTAAGTTTGTTAAATGGATATTTTAAAATTAAAAAATATTAACCTTGCTGCTGCTCTTTTATTTTTCTTACATTCAATATATAGCAAGACATTATATCAGCTTTATCACTAATGCTATACTTTGACATTGTTATTAATAATGAACTTTTAATTTAAATAAATAAAATTTATTTAAAAAAAAAATTTTTTTTTAAAAACCTCGATTTTATATACTTTAAAAATTTAACAAATTAAACCGTAATGAATACAAGTGTGTGTAACTTCTATTAGTGATGATAAAAAATAGCAGTAGCAGCTATATAGCTATTCAGTGTAAATAATAGCAGTGATTGCTAAATTTCGTAATTTATGTTTTTCAACAACCTACACTGTATAACTGCTACTATATTATAACACATAATATAATTGAAAATAGCAGGAGCTATAGAGCGGCAGGCTTGGTGTTATATATGATAATTGATAATTCGCATTCGGCATTAGCTGTTAAGCGTTTAAAATGTTTCTATTATCAACGCTTGTCCAGTTATCAGATATTAATATCTAATATGGCAAATACAGTATTATCGGTAAAAACAAAAACCACAATAGTCAATATTACATTTTGCAAATGTAGTATTGTCAATTATTGTAAAATGATACCAAATATTACTTGTCTTACGATTCATTTTTAAATAAATAAAATAAAACTATCAAAAACAAACAATCAAATATATCAACTATACCCTATGATATGTAGAAGAATGCGCTTCATTTTAATATTTGTATTATCTTATAGACATAAGAGTTGGTGTAATATTTCAACATGTTAATACCAGTCTAGAAATGGAATTTTATTGTTTATTTCTATATTTTTCATTCATACATTTAATTATTAAACATACTAAACATAGCTTTTATTAGTCTTGTCTGAACATGCACATTCAGAGAAATAGGCATAGTTGGAAAAATGATAGATGTCATCTCTCCATAATGTCATAAAAGATTAAACAATATGCAATGTAATAATGTATAATAATAATAATTTATAGTTTAAAAATAAAAATGTTTTGGTCTATTTAGTAATGTTTTATTTACTATGTATTAATCTATACACCACCCATCCAAAATGCATTTTCAATTCAACATAAAATACTTGGTACTGTACTAAGATACATTTTTTTTTATTAATAAAGCACTTGAAACACTAACGACAATTTTTTTCAAATATGATAATAATCATATTAATTTATTTATTAAATTTAAAAATAATAAAAAAATTTCCTAAAAAATAAAGTCCAAACACATTTTGCTTTTTTGACCAATCATAATTTTCAATTTGCTTGAATTTAGAGTTGATAATTCTTTAAATCTAATATTTATTATACTCATGTTAAATAGTACAAATCCTAATGTCCGTTTTAATCATTTAGAAAAAATATTTTTGAAATAAAGCCCATAAATATGATTGTTAATAATTATTATTGAAGTTCACATTATTTTTCAGTCTACAATTATTAATATGTTTATGTCAAATGGTTCACCTTTACAGTTCACACTAACATGGCTTAAACATTATACATATATTAATGTAATATTAGAACCGTTGAATATCATAGTATCATACGCCAGTTGAATAAATTATACATCATACTGCCTGCCATCAATGCCTTGAGCCCCTGGCCCTAACGAAAATAATGATTTCTAGTATTATTGCTAATTGCTATAAACATTAGCTGCTAATAGCTAAAATATAATTATAAGCATTATGCTATCAGCTGTTTTTACAAAATAGCAATAGCATTAGCAGATATTAAAAAAAAAAATAGCAGTTTACCATCACTACTTCCTATAGCAAAATCAGATTTGTTTTGAACTCTAAGAATCCCAGGTTAAGATTTATAAATAAATTTTCAATAGTAGTTGAATTTTATTTGTTTGAAGCATCAAGTTTTTATATATGCATAGTGTTTATCAATAATTGTGATCATACATGTTAATTGGTTTGAAAATTTCATTATTATAAGTGATAATGTTGTGACGTTCACCGATAACTAACCGTGAGGTTATCACCGATGAAGCACATAAACCCAAACGAAGTTGGATTCACCACTAGCCGAGGCTCTACCAGACCGGAGCATAGTGGAATTTTAAATATAACTGACACATTTGTTGTTTTAATTTACTAAGTTTTTACCTTAACTCTAGGGGAAAAGGAATTAAAAACTGGTAGACAAGTAGTATAGGCGATGATGTTCTATTTTATATCATGAGTTTAACTAAAATAATAATGCCCAAAGTACAATAAAATAAATGTCAGTTACAAATGTTCAAAATAAAATAAAATTACAAATTCTTTTATATAACATAATTCAAGTAATAGTTAAAATTATTACAAATTATTAAACGAGCTAAAGGACAAATAAAATAAAAGAGACATGAGGGAAAAAATAATCTCTGACACTGCTCTATTGACTATGTTCGATTTGACCAAGGGACAGGATCGTACTTTCCAATATTGAATAAAATAAAATGGTTATCATTGCAATAATGCTCAAACTAAGAACATGACATCGGTCAATATGGATCTAGGCCTTTTATACCGAGCCTTGAGACTGCTAAGCACGTCTAGATTGGTCCAACACATGTGAGGTTTTAT